GATCTTATACATTGTAATAGTTAGGCAAATTTATTTTACACACTATAATTTCAACACTAACCTTGAATTTTCTGTATATAATGAGGGAATTCAAATTAACCCAACTGAACGAAAAACTTACAGTTCGTTTGGTATGGATTAAAATCTGATTTTAATCTAAGTCAAAGTCAAACAATCAATATTAACCACATCTTTTATGGGTCACACAACTTTTTTAACCACACATTTCAAAAACTTCTATCACAATCTACTAAAAAAACTAATTTTAGGCCCATTTGGTACACGTTAATGTAAAAATGAGAATGAAAAATATAGCCGTTACGGGCCCCCACACAAGAGATAGAAAATCAAATATTGTGGCTTGAAGTGATGGATAACGGTCACATTTTTCATTTTAATGAATAAATAATGGGAACCAAACCGGGCTCCATTAAACACCCTCCTAAATAATAAATTAAATATTAGTAAGACATTTTGCACAGAAGGATTATATAGCTAGATAAAATGATCTTCACTATGCAAGGAAAAAGTGTAAAGATTTACCAAATTTTATCCCTTTTTACGTAAGGTTTTTGAAGATAGGACTTAGTAGGAGCAGATAATCTATACATCATATATATCTTAGAACAATTTTAAGATTTATACTTTCGTACGAAAGTTATGTCCAATGACCAGAAACTATGAAGTTGATTATACACATATTTATCCAATGCGCATTCCTTTATTTGAGGGGACTTATTTCCTTTTTTCTGTGAACTCTTATCATTTTTCCTGAGCAATGCATGGGATTATTTTGACCTCTACATAAACTATACTAATTACAGGGTCTACCATTTGCCAATGACTGCCGGAAATGGAATCACACTTAGAAAAAACTAAATTTTTTTCTATTAAAACCACCCAAGAAAAAATATATCTTCTGCTATGAATCCTAAGAGGCTTTAATGTAGGATATAAGGGATATATTGGAAAAAGAGTACTAGTAGAAATAAATCATCTTGATTCCAGATTGGTCCCATAAGACCATTTTGGAAGGAGAACGACGAGGGGAACAATACTTACCGCTATGCTGTGATGTACATTGAATTTCGGCCGTTCGAGTTCGTTTAGGCCTCGAATACTGATTTTTAAAGATTTAGCGCTATTTTTGTCAATTTGTTTATTTTATTTTTTTTACAATTCTAGTTTGATTAACATTCTTTTTCATTACTTTTAGTTGTTCTAAACTACATTTCCATGTAAACCCTTATAAATAAGGGCTTAGCTCGTTTTTTTTTATCATCTTTTCATTAATAAATTCGTGAGTTTATTTTCTTTATTGTTTAGTGGATTCCAAATTGTTTGTTCTTAAGATTTTTGCTTGAATTCCTTTCTTTCGCTGTTCAGGCGAAAGAAAGTTAATAAGCCACGTTCGGGCTTCAATATCTTTCAAAAAATACATTTTAGTAAAACTCATTTTCAACCACATATTTTCCTACAAAATAATGTTACATGTAAATCTAAAACATTTTTCTTTTATCTATGCATTCTTCAAAAATTCACTATTCCAAAGAAAAAAAGTCGTTTTAATGGAGCTCAAATAGGGGCTAATATGTGTTTATGGTCATAAATCGGTAATTGTTTTAAAGGAAAAAGTTCGTGTACTTCACACTAAACTTTTGAAGAATAACAAATTAATCTATTGTTTCATTGTATTGGTTTTTTATTTAGAATTGAAGATCATGGATCTCATAAAGTGAAATTTGAAATTTCAACCATTGATGAAACGGATAACAAAAAGGGTTGAAATTAAAAAAGACAGTGTTTGTAACTCAAATGAGAAATGAGCAATTTAGGCAACATTCTCGCCGGAAATTAATCTTCAACTTTACTATTAGCGGAAAGAATGGCATGTGGATCAATTAATGAATTAACACCTTAATTTTATTTCTATTCATTATTAGTTCGTTGGCTATCCGTTCCTATATATTTCTCGTACCCTATATATGTTTCATTGTATTGATTTTTTTATTTAGAATTGAAAATCATGGATCTCATAAAGTGAAAATCCAACTATTGATGAAACGGATAACAAAATCGGTTGAAAATAACAAAAGACAATATTTGAAATTCAAATGAGAAATGAGTAAATTAGGCAACATTCTCGCCGTAAATTAATCTTCAACTTTACTATTAGCAGAAAGGATCAATTAGAGTGTTTTTGATTGATATGGAAAATATCATCTAGAAAAAAAATGTTTTTCATCTTTTGTGGAAAATAAAAACCACCTCCACCCAAAGAAAATGTTTTCCTTAAAAACAAAGAAAATTAGGCATATTTTCAAAAGTTGGAAAATATTTTCCATGGAAAAAAAATATCAATCAAACACTTTAAGTAGAAATTTGGGTGAAAAACTGATATTTTCCATGGAAAATAAATGTAATCAAACACACCCAATGAAATTTTATTTCTATTCATTATTTGTTCGTTGGCTATCCATTCCTATATATTTCTAGTGGGAAATACTATTTGTATATAATGTGGTATCCATCCCCTCATATGGAGAGGGACCTACTTTGAATAAATTATATTTTATTGGAAGTGGGTCCCCTCCATGTGAGAGGGATGAATATCGTTATGGATATCCTGGTATACGTGTAGCATTACCCATTTCTCGTATCCTATATGTTACATAAATCTATTTAACTAGGTAATTTTGATGTAATTTAAGAAGGGTTTATTAAGGACTCTAATTATAATGTGTTAGTTAAAGCAGCACCAAAGCTCGTTCTGGATAATATTGCCTCAATTAAAAATCAACGTGGTGGCAGGATTTGACACATCTCCTACTACACCTATAGATGATAATTTGGACTATAAGGAAAGAACGCCCTACCTCAGAACTTGAATCGAGATAAAAATGAAAAGTTAGGAGGTACTTCTTTCCATTTAAAGAATAAAATTAGACTATTTTGAAACTATGTAAATAAGAACATAACATAGAACTTCGGTGTTATTATTAAAGTAGATGTCTCGATAAAAAAAACTATTAAAAGTATGTCCCACTTTACGGAGGAAAAAACACTTAGTTCAAAAATATAATATTCATTATTTTGGTCAGTTTAATTTATTTTTGAACTCTGGACTAAATTGATAAGCAAGAAATTTGAGTTGTAACTAGTATGTTTGACCAAATGGATATTGGTTTAATTTCATGGAAGGAGTCAAATCTACGAATTGTTTGAAACTTGTCATCATACTTAACAATTCTGACGATGATGCAAATAGCAACGTGAACAATATCTTTTTTCCATTAAAAATTTGTATTCAATAAGTGTTTTGTGTAGTGATGAAATTCATTCTTCATTCAAAAGTTAAATATATACACAACAAATAATGGCAAGAGGATTTAAGTCAAAATTTTTCTTTTTACATATTTATTTATTATGACGTGTTACTACAGAAACCTCTATATAATATTAACTAAGTCAACCTTTAAATTTTGTTGTGAGTTGTGACATCTCATTCTAATTCAAATATGAAGTACGCTTTCATAAATGTGTACTTAATGTCCATAAAATTTTCTTTAGAATTTAGTACTGAATTAGAGAGAGATATATAAAAGTAGAGTTTCAGAAATTAAATTTATTTATTTATTTATTTATTATTATTATTATTATTATTATTATTATTATTATTATTATTATTATTGTTGTTGTTGTTGTTGTTGTTGTTGTTGTGATAAACTAAAATTTGATGCAATCAATAGTGTGTATCCCTTTTGTGACCGACTTTACGTCATCCCACACCTGGTCAATATTGCTGTCAAATTATAGTTTTAAGTTTGGGGATTTTATATTTAAGGATCTGTTGTGTATTCAGTTTAAAATAGACACGAGAATTTTGAATATTTTAGTTTTTAGAGCGTCAACCATTGTGGCTCTGTGTGTACAATAAAATCTCCATAAAATGATAATATTGGGATTGAATAAAATTCTAGTTAATCTATTAATTTGTTTATATATTTCGTGAAGTAATTTTTAATCAATGTTAAACATGATAGGGATATAAACACCTATTTAATTATCCTGGTTAAATGATGATGGACTAGCCTACTAACAATTACTCTCTCTCTCTCTATATATTTATATATAAGCATCGATGGCATGACAAATCATTCAATTGATAAATCATTAAATATATGGGACCTACCATTAAATATTTTAGTTTTTAGAGCGTCACTGGTACTTAATATAAGCAAAGCACCGGTGCTCTTATATATATATTCATTTATATTGATCGAACTATATATTATTTTTTGAGATGCAAATTTTCTATTATGTGTTTAATCTAAGCCATATTTATTTCCACATTGTCAAAGTTTTTCTTTTTATTAGATTTGATCAATAAAATTCTAGTTAATTTATTAATTTGTTTATATATTTCGTGAAGTAATTTTTAATCAATGTTAAACGTGAAAGGGATATGAGCACCTATTTAATTATCCTAGTTAAATGATGATGGACTAGCCTACGAATATTTACTCTCTCTCTCTCTATATATATATATATATATATATATTCATCTAACTATATATTATTTTTTGAGACACAAATTTTCTATTATGTGTTTGATCTAGGCCATATTTATTTTCCCATTGTCAAAGTTTTTCTTTTGATTAGATTTGATCAATAAATTAATATTGCACTAACTAAATAAGAGGAATTTCTTATTTGTCCAAACAAACATCCAACAATTAATGTTGCCTGTATTTTGTTTCTTCAGCCACAATTTAACTAACATGTTTTTTATTCTATGCCTATTTAGTTCTCAAAAAACAAGTTTCCTTTCTGGTTATACATTTTTTCTTATTGCATTAAATAACTTGAAATTCTTATTTGTCCAAACAATTATTCTTCACGGTGTGATAGTGACCAAATTGAACATCATTATCTAAATTGCACTCAACTTATAGCCTATAAATACCTCTTATAACTGCTTCATCTCCTTATCCCCTCTCTCTCTATACCACAAACATACAAAAAAAAAAAAAAATGGCTGGAGCTTTAAGTTTTATTCTTGCTTTCCAATATTTCCTCTTGACCTTCTTCCACTACTCATCAATTGCAACCAATGCTAATTACAATCTCCAAAGTTTTGGAGCAAAATCTGATGGAAAAACTGATTGTAGCAAGGCATTCTTGAGTGCATGGACCTCAGCATGTGCTTCTACACAGCCAGCCACCATTTTCGTGCCACCGGGAAGATACTTGCTTGGAGCTACAATTTTTGCCGGCAAGTCATGCAAAAACACTGCTATAACGATTCAAATTGATGGGACACTAGTAGCTCCATCTGATTTCAATGTTATTGGAAATTCTGGTAACTGGATCAAGTTCGAAAGTGTGACCGGAGTTTCTGTTATTGGTGGAACCCTAGATGCCCAAGGGGCTAATTTGTGGGCTTGCAAAAATTCCGGCAAGAGTTGTCCAACCGGAGCAACGGTAAGTTAATAAAGAAGAAAGTGGATTTTACTTTTTGTCATGTTGTACATTCTAACGTAATTTTTCTCTACATTACATAATGGCTTAAATAAGAATAATTCATATTTGTTGATAACAAGACACTTCAAATAGGATTTTATTAGAAAACTAAGAAATTAATTATAATCTCAACAAGGAAAGTGACCTTTATTTTGGGATAGACAAAAAAGGAAAGCAATTCTATTTTTTGGAGCAGAGGAAGTATAACATAATGTATCCCAACAATTTATTTGGCTGAGATAACTAATTTGTGCTCCTTTTCTGCAGCATTGGGAGTCTAGGCTGGCATTTGCAAGAACCTGGAGTGGAAAATGTGACAGTTAAATCAGCAACATTTACAGGAACTCAAAATGGGGCGAGGGTGAAGACATGGGCCAGGCCAAGCAATGGATTCGTTAAAAATATTCTTTTCCAGCATTTAGTCATGGTTAATGTTGAAAACCCCATAATTATTGATCAAAATTACTGTCCCGACGACCATAATTGCCCCAGTCAGGTAATTAAGACATGGGAACTCATTATTAAAAAAAATAAAATTAATATATACCATTCAATTGTAAATTAATTATGCATAGCGGTCTTAATTTTTTCAGGTTTCAGGCGTGAAGATTAGTGATGTAACATATCAAGACATACATGGGAGTTCGGCAACAGAAACTGCAGTAAAATTTGACTGCATCAAAGGAAATCCATGCAGTGATATTACCTTGGAAGATGTTAAGCTGACCTATAAAAATGAGCGGGCTCATTCGTCATGCATTAACGCCATTGGGAAGTCTTCCGGCTCAGTTGAGCCAAATAGCTGCTTGTCTCTTTAGAAAATTATTTAAAGTATTTATACTTATACAAGAATATTATTTTTATAATAAATCTTATTCGATTAATAAGCAAGGCATGTTAGAGCATTTAATTTAATTATGAATATTGCTTAAATTCTTCTACTCTTAATATAAGAAATACTAATTAGATACGTAACTGTATTATATCAAAAAATTGCAATCTACATATTGAATTCACTATATTTGAATAAAAAAGGAAAAATTTATTTCAAACGAGAATCACGAACTCAAGATATCCCAAAAGGTACACGACAGCCCAAACTATAAATATATCAAGTTCAATTTCATATATTATAAATAAATAAATAAATTTGAAAAATCACTTAAGTTTGTAAACAATACTAGAAAGTAAAAAAACTTGAATTGCAAAGGATGAACGTTTTGATTCATCAACTTACACTACAACCTAATTTAAATTTTTTCGATACATAAAAAGTTTAAATTGCAAAGAATAACACCTACTAACTTCTGAAATGCAGCAATATGATGTGAGGTGAGAGGCCAAAAAAAAAAAAAAAGGAGTCAATCTTGATTTCAAATCTTGATTTCTTATACATTAAGTCTAGAGTTTTAGGGTAATTACTATCTAAATTAGGGTTTTGGATTTTGCGTTTCTTTATACAACCTATAAATTTAAATAAAAATATATATTAAAAAATCGATTCTATTCGGATACCTACAATTCTGGTTTAGGACCAAGAATTATCCTGGGCTCAATCAATTATCAATTCTCGATTTACAAAAATAAAAAAATAATTAAAAAAATAAAAGAAGAAGAGGAAGACATTCGATGTAGAGTGACATACAATTAGTAAGAAAATCATCCTCCATTTTGGTCCAATTTATCATCTCAACTACTGACATTTATTCAGTAATGTCACAAAAACAGTCAGTGTTAATACAAGATGACTTAATTGTTAGAAAACTTTGAAAACGGGGAAATAATATGGCGTAAATTAAAAACATATTGTAGCTCAAAAAATTAGTGCACAATAAATTTTTATAAACAAGTGTTTGATAAATAAAAAAAATCTAGCTTAAATAACGAAATTCATCGATCTCGACTATGGCCAATTTACTAAATTAATAATCTTCTTTATTGAATAAAATATTAGTTTTATTCAAAATTCTTTAGGGGCCAATAAAAATAAAAATAAAAATAATAATGGATTAAATTTGTAACATTTTATAATACATTTTAATGAATTTTATTTGACAAATTCTTTTTTTTTTCATTTTATAATTTTAAAATATGAATATAAAGTTAATTTTTTTTGTGCTCAATGCAGACTCAACAGCATCTCTAATTTTTTTAAAGACTGATGCTTAAAAGGCTTCCTTTTGGAAAAAAATATTTTGTAAAATACAATTATCATAAACATATGAATCATGATCATTTTCTCTAGGCACATTCGTCAAAGCATTCACTTTGTTAGTAGGCTAGTCCATGATTTTATTGTTTTTAGTAGGATAATTAAATAGGTGTTCGTATCCTTCACGTTTAGAAGGGTTTATTAGAAATTGCTTCACATCATATATCATTCATTTAATAAATTAGGTATAATTTTATTAGATCCCACTATTAATATTCTATAGAGATTTTATTGTCCACACAATTGAGACAATTATTGTGCTTCAAAAACTAAAACATTCGAAATTCTCGTGTTTATTTTCAACTGTAGAAATATCAAATCCTTAAATATAAAATGCTCAAACTTAAACTATACTTCAATAGCAATATTGAGCACAAATAGTGCCAACGCCGACTTCAAGCAGGGTAAACTATTGTCCAAGGGCTTGCATTGATGAGGGCCCAAAATAATACTTACATTTATATAACAAAGAATTATTTCCCAAAAAGACTTATGTTCTTCAGTGTAAAAAAAATAAAAATAAAAAATAAATAGTACATTCATGAGTTTTCATTTTATTTTTCTCCTTTTTTAGGAAATCTCTTCCCCCCCCCACAACATTTGATATACAATCTTTTGACACTCTACATATATCAAAAGTCATTCAAAACGGGAGAAACCTCCCTTAGACCTAAAAATTTATAGATTCTAATCCGCTTTGGAGGCAAAAAAAAAAAAAAAAAAAAAAAGGAGTCAATCTTGATTTCAAATCTTGATTTCTTATACATAAAGTCTAGAGTTTTAGGGTAATTACAATCTAAATTAGGGTTTTGGATTTTGCTTTTCTTTATACAACCTATAAATTTAAATAAAAAAATATATTAAAAAATCGATTCTATTCGGATACCTACAATTCTGGTTTAGGACCAAGAACTATCCTGGGCTCAATCAATTATCAATTCTCGATTTGCAAAAATAAAAAAATAATTAAAAAAATAAAAGAAGAAGAAGAAGACATTCGATGTAGAGTGACATACAATTAGTAAGAAAATCATCCTCCATTTTGGTCCAATTTATCATCTCAACTACTGACATTTATTCAGTAATGTCGGAAAAACAGTCAGTGTTCATACAAGATGACTTAATTGTTAGAAAACTTTGAAAACGGGGAAATAATATGGCGTAAATTAAAAACATATTGTAGCTCAAAAAATTAGTGCACAATAAATTTTTATAAACAAGTTTTGATAAATAAAAAATCTAGCTTAAATAACGAAATTCATCGATCTCGACTATGGCCAATTTATAAAAAATTAATAATCTTCTTTATTGAATAAAATAATAGTTTTATTCAAAATTCATTGGGGGCCAATAAAAATAAAAATAATAATGGATTAAATTTGTAACATTTTATAATACATTTTAATGAATTTTATTTGACAAATTCTTTTTTGTTTTCATTTTATAATTTTAAAATATGCATATAAATTTGTTTTTTTTGTACTCAACGGAGACTCAACAGCATCTCTAATTTTTTAAAGACTGATGCTTAAAAATCTTCCTTTTGGAAAAAAAGATTTTGTAAAATACAATTATCACATACATATAAATCATGATCATTTTCTCTAGGCACATTCGTCAAAGCATTCACTTTGTTAGTAGGCTAGTCCATGATTTTATTGTTTTTAGTAGGATAATTAAATAGGTGTTCGCATCGTTCACGTTTAGAAGGGTTTATTAGAAATTGCTTCACATCATATATCAATCATTTAATAAATTAGGTATAATTTTATTAGATCCCACTATTAATATTCTATAGAGATTTTATTGTCCACACAATTGAGACAATTATTGTGCTTCAAAAACTAAAACATTCAAAATTCTCGTGTTTATTTTCAACTGTAGAAATATCAAATCCTTAAATATAAAATGCTCAAACTTAAACTATAATTCAATAGCAATATTGAGCACAAATAGTGCCAGCGCCGACTTCAAGCAGGGTAAACTATTGTCCAAGGGCTTGCATTGATGAGGGCCCAAAATAATACTTACATTTATATAACAAAGAATTATTTCCCAAAAAGACTTATGTTCTTCAGTGTAAAAAAAATAAAAAATAAAAATAAATAGTACATTCATGAGTTTTCATTTTATTTTTCTCTTTTTTTAGGAAATCTCTCGCCCCCCCTTCCCCCCTCTGTCGTTTTCTTTTTATTTGTTATGTGGACATTCAACTTTTATTTTATTTTTTGTGTTTTTTCAGTTAACCTCAATTCATTATCTCCAAATTCAACCATCTGAAAATTTATTGACGATGTAGTTTTATGGTGTTTTTCTATATATATATATATATATATTATATTGGTCTTTCAATTTTGGTGTGAAAGTATAAAGTTGGTCAGATTTTTGAATTGTTACGTCCATATCATTTTTTTTTTGTAATGATGCTTTAACTCTCTCTCTCTCTCTCTCTCTCTCTCTAATATATATATATATAAACTAGTTAAAGTTGAATGTACATTACACGTTATTCTAAAATATATTATAAGTACTACAAAGTGATATTTGATACTAGTTTGTTGTGAGGATTTGAGCGTCTAAAACTAACCAAAAAAAAAAATTAGGATAAAAATTTAAGAGACAAAAATTATACTCGCAAAACTCAACTTCTATGATTCAAATTTTATGATGATGAAATACTACAAATGAGCAAACTTTTTATACTATATTTCTCATATAAGAATTAATTTCTGATAAATGAATTTAAACACCCATTGAAATTTCTAAATACATGAATAGAAATTAATTCATCTATAATATCTCTAGATTCATAGAGATTAAGATTTATTGGGTCTAGATTAACGTGAAGGTTAATTAATTGAAAATTAATAGCACAAAATTCGTAAAATAATAAGAATTTTGTAGTATTTATTACGTATTGAAAAACAAAAAGTAAGGTATTATTGAAATTTATTACGTATTGAAAAACTAAAAGTAAGGTATTATTGAAATAATTGAATTATAGTACGGTCAAAATTTTTTGGACAATGATTCTCATTTGATGTTATATTTTATATACCAGTCAGACTTGAAAATGTATAGCATGTTTTTTTTAAAATACTTTATAAGTGTTAAAAAATTAATATTTGATACCAATTTATTGGGAGAATTTGATGAGTCTCAAACGAATTAAAGAAAATAAAATTTAGAATAGAAATTTAAAAGGAAAAAATTTAATTCTTGAAATTCAACTTCTATAATTCAAATTTTTGTGATGATTAAATATTACAAATGAGCAACCTTTTTAAACTACAATTGCCACATAAGAATTAATTGTTAATCCATGAGTTTAAACACCCATTAAAATACTTAGATGCATGAATAGAAATAAAATTCATCTACAATACTCTAGACTCACGTAAATTAAGATTTATCAAGTGAAGATCATTGAGTTTAAATTAATGCAAATGTTAAATAATTGAGAATTAATAGCATAGTATTTATTACATATTTGAAAACGTAAAGTATTATTGAAATAATTGAATTGTAATAAGGTTAAAATCGTCCAAAAATGATTCTCACTTGATGCGATATTTTAATATATTATATTTTATAGATTGTAAATTATATGTTTATTTTTGAATGATTACTATACTCCTAAAATCCTAATTAT